CACTCTTTCATAGTGTTACAATTTTAGGATTTAATTCCTACCACAAGTTGATAGCTGGTAGGGTGGAATGTTGTCTGCTGGATGCCATGATTTCCTCTCGTTATTGTCAATATAGTCTTTCCTCTTTGATATTGTGTGGGAGCCCGTCTTTAGTCAATGGTAAAGATCTTTAGGATGAAGCGGGTTTTTAGGACTATTCATTGGTCACCTATGACTGTTATATTGTTCATGTTAAGCTGAATTACAAGTGGCCTTATAATAAACAAAAAACTATTAGAGAGTTGAGGAGAAACAATTGTAATGCCACAGTACTTGAAGTTATTTGGTTACTACCTTGGTGTTTGAGTGCCTACCAGATTTTATATAGGTTCTGATTTAGGTGACACAGCTAGTGCTGTAACTGGTAAAACCCCATCTGTCTCAGGAGTAGGAGAAATTACTGGAGGCTGGAAGATAATGCTGTCAGAGTCTGAGACACAGGACATGTTTTTCTTCCACTCTTTACCCTTCTCTCTGGTTTAGAAATCAAGGTTTAGTGAATTCTTTTTAAGCTTGTGTTTGGCTTCAGAAAGATCAAACATGCGCTGAGGCTTTTATTTGACTCTCTTTTTTGCCTTTCAGATGCAAAAGTAGTATGCTCTGAGAAGAGGGTCTGGGACAGGGCAAAGAGTGAGCCTTCAAGGCTTCTAGAACTTATGTAAGACTTGTGGAATTAGTTCAGGACTGCAGCTGAGAGATCAGTCATCAGTTGCATTTCAGGATTACTTCCTTGAGAGAGGTAGCGAAGGCAGTCTATGAAATGCAACTGAAAAAAATGCAAATCTTTTAAATGTCTGTTGGTTATGATTTGTTTTGTTTGGCTTTTTTCTCAAGGCTAAGCTTATACAAAGTACCCCAACAGTTTTGGTTTTATCTTATGCCCCTTGCTGTCTAAATACATTTCAAAACATTCTAATGACACTTCTGTTTCCTTGAGAATACGAAAAAGCCCACTGCTTCGTGCTGTAAGTGGCCTCCAAATTCCTCATGTATGCCTTGTGATTAGAATTCCTTATCTGTCTTCATTTATCTGTATACCTTGTTCACAGTAATAATTACGATCTTTCTTCTCTATGTTGCTTTCAGGGACAGAAGATGACCTTGGTATTCTGCCAAGGACTATGGACATGTTGTTTAAAAGTATTCAAGGAAAGCTATATACAGCAATGGATCTCAAACCCCATCGGTGCAGAGATTATGTAAAGCTGACTAAAGATCAAGTGAGAGAAGAAACTGTTATTAAAAATACAATACTCCGCTTGACAAAAGAGGTAGAGGAACACTTCTTTCTATGCTGCTGAGTACACACATATTTTGATAGCTCAGTGTTACTCTCTTGATTTTTCACTGGGAAGACACGATCTGTATTTAAGCATGGATGTGTCTGTTTGCTGTCAGACAGCTATTCAGATCAGCAGTAAATCATAGAATGGCTGGAGTTGGAAGTGACCATAAAGATCATCTAGTTTTGCGCCCCCCTCCCGCTCCATCATGGGCAGAGACGCTTCTCTCTAGACAAGATTACTCAAAGCCCCATCCAGCCTGACCTTGAACACTTTTTGGAAGGGAGTGTCCACAACTTCTGGGCTACTTGGTCCAGTGCCTCACCACCCTTAGAACAAAGAACTTCTTTCTAATGTCTAATCTACATCTATGCTGCTCCAGTTTAAAACCATTGCCCTTGTCCTGTCACCACATCCCCTTATAAAAAGTCCCTCCCCAGCTTTCCTGTAGTCCCACTTCAGGAAGGCCACTATGAGGTCTCCCCAGAGCCTTCTTTTCTCCAACTCCCTCAGCCTGTCCTTTTTTGGAGAGGTGCTTCAGCCCTCTGGTCATCTCTGTAGCCCTTGTGGACCCTCTCCAACATGTCTTTGTTTTGAGGGCTCTGGAGCTGGAGTAGTGCTCCAGGTGGGATCTCACAAGAGCAGAGTAGAGGGACAGAATCACTTCCCTTAACCTGCTGGCCACTCTTCTTTTGATGAGCAATAGAGTTGATTAACCATTCTACGGATTTTTGTCTTGTGACTGAATACTTGATGGAATGTAAACTAAATTTTGTTTTGTGTGGCTTGAGCACTAGATAATTTATCATCTGCTTAATAAGAACTGAGTGCAAACAGTGTCTCCGTTTCTGGGGATGCTAAGTAGGTCTGCTCCTTTAAGCAATTTACTATCTTTCAGGATACTTGAAAAATTTAATGATTTTTGAGGTTGTCCCCATCTTCCAGTTTAGCAAATATCCTCAAAAGAAAAAAAATTTGGTTTTTTTTGAAACAGCAGAGCTATAAAGCCAGTGGACTCTTAAAGATGTGAATTAAAATGGGTTTCTGCTGGACTTTATTCATAAACAGATCACTGTTGACCCACCCAGAAATACCCTTCACTTTTGATTTGCATAAAAAAAAGCTGTTTAGTCCAATTACGATTATGGTGGATTTGTAGTTCATGTAAGCAGAACTTTTTCTTGATGTTTTTAATTCTGAAACAAATGGAATAACATATATTTAAAAAGCATATGTTAAGATTAGAACTAGAAACAGATTATTGTGCTTTTTCCCATTTTTAATGAAAGGAATTAAGCATCTGCCTAGTGGTATGCTAGGTTATAATGGGGTGTTCTGGCTGTTGAGAGGTGGAATATACGTTACTTTGATTTTTTCATCTGAGTTAGTTAACTGGACTTCTCCAGTGTGGGAGCTGGGTGGCAGCAAAACTCTTTAAGACTTCATTTCAAAAGCAGACACATGTTAAATCTAGGGCTTACGAAAAACCTGCCACGTGTGTTTGAACATATTGTCCTTCTAGTTTCTAAAACTGACTACAAGAACAATATACAACATGCAAACTTTGCCACCAAATTTATATCTGCTTCAACAGAGATGAGTTTGGGTGGATGTTTTGTATGTGTAAAGCTTAAACCTAAAAGTTTTGATTACATAAATAGTGAATTATTTCGGGAATCTCTTAATGGAATACCAACTTTATGTGAAATATACTCTTGACAAAATATTAAAAAAAACTTGACCCAGACTACACTTGTTTCTTAATTTGTGTTTATTCTCTTCAGCATAGCAGTATTGGTGGATGAGCTGCAGTACTGTGCTTAAAAACCCAGCAAACCCAACCAAACAAAACGGGCTGGGAATGGAATGTATATGTATCAACATCAAGCTCTAGCTGTAGGGATTTGGTTTACTCTTTAAGAGCTCAGCAGAAGAAAATTTTTCTCCTTTCTCTACAACAGACTATTTCAACTCTGAAAGGTTTCTTATAGCCTGTATCATGAAGCAATAAGTTGCTCATTTAATTTAAATGAGAAGTGTTCTATGTTTGCCTCTGGCTTTGAGTGCTGACCTAATAAGCTCTGAGGTACAGAATCCTGAATTAACAAAATATCAATAATTTCAGTACTTTCTAGATTCACTAGTTTAAGAGAAAGGTACAAATTGCAGCTGGACTCCTGTAAAAATGATCCTGTAAGTCATCCTGTTTCTGTGTGGGACCCCACCCCTCTATTTTTCTGTGGCTAATTTTCTTCTGGTTCACAAGCTGAAATGCCAGATACTATGATAGGACCTGATGTGAGTGAAGTGTTAGGAATGAGAATTAAGGTGGAAAACAACTATTTCAGTAAGAGTGTACCAATGCTTTGAACTAGGCATGATGTGTAGCCAGGATCTTTGTAGTGGCATCTTGTAACTACACTGTATTCCAATCTGGTGGGACAATAGAGCTGTTAGAAAAGTAACTGGTGATGTTCTGGCAACGATGTATCTTAAATTCTCTGTTCTCTTTTGTAGGTAGACCATCAAAATAGCACTAACAACAAAGCACCAGTAGATTCTAAAGGTATGTTTTGTGTTATAGAATTGCAGTTAAAGCTGGTGAAGAAAGCTTCTTAAGATCAGTAACTGACTTCTGGCCTATATTATAATAAAATTGCTTCTTGGCATTTTTATGTGCTTGTGAATTGGATAGTGAGCAAATTATCTGGGCAAAAACTCAAGGATAAAACGGTTAGAAAAATACTTGAACAGGCTGTAACAGAGAGAAAACTATAGCTTTATACTTATGCAGTGGACCCTAGTAGCGTCCTGACAGGCTTTTAGAGTACCTGTATGTGATTAAATAAATGTCAATCTGGCATTTTAAAACTACCTCAATACTGTGTTTGCTTTAAAAACTCGTAACTGAGTGTACTTGCCAGTTTAACTTTGTCTTCTAAAAATATTGAAGAGGCTTGAATAATTGTAAGCTGTCCATGTTTGATAAAATTTGCAAGTGGAGAAGGAAGTGGTAGAGTAGATGTCTCTTGCAAATATGCAGGGTAAGCATGTGACTACCACATACCCAAGAAAGAGGGGGAAATGTCAATAGATGTTTATCTGGGGCAGAGGGTTTTTTTTTTTTGAGGTGACTGATGTAATACTGATTTCCCTTCCCACACACACTTATTTTTTTAAATTAGATTGACTTTACTAGACTTGTGTTGACTTGTAATATTTTGTACTTGTCAGGTTTGGAAGAGCTCTTAAGCGACTCGGAACAAACTACCACAAGTGTGAAAAATGACATGAAGTTTTCTGTTTGGGTTTCATTTTTTGAGATTTACAATGAATGTTTTTATGATCTACTGATTCCTATATCAAATGACAAGAAAAGAAAAACACTACGCCTTGCTCAAGACATCAAGGGATGTCCTTATGTAAAAGGTGATTAGAATACATCACAAGTTATATATTTGACAATTTGTTAAGTCAATCTTCCTGTAATAATGCTTCTAGAGTAGAATACTCCTAACAACATTTGCTGTGGCACTAGAAATGTCTACAGTGAGTGTGAAAGGCAACAATTCACATACATAGAAGTATCTGTACCTTTTAATAGTGTTTTATTTTAATTCTTGACTTTAACTCTTAATGTCTGTATGCACTCCACTGCCTTGATATTTTTAAGTGGGAGAAATATTGAAAACAATTGATGAATTTGTTAAAGGTTTATGGTTGTTTCTTTTTTTGCTCTCTTAAAAAGACTCAAAGTTCTGAACTATAGTTATAACTTGATCAACAGTTCTTTCTTTAGTATTTTCTGTAGAGAAACAGAGATTATGTGAGACAGTTTAGTCTGACTACGAATTATGTTGTACAGTACTCTAGTTCAATCAAACTTGTGATGTACCTTGTTTTGCATTTGGGGTGGGGGCAGGAAGTTCACGGAACTCAAAATGACAGTTCAATGCTTGATTCTGACCATGGAAAAAATAGGATTTGAAACACATTTGATTGTTACAGATTCTTTAGATGATAGAAACACCAGTTCTAATTAAAGGCTTTTTTTGTATGTATTTGGCCTGATGCTCTTATCCTTGGCATGCCCAACTATAGATTCAAAAAGTTGAGTTGGACAATAAACCCAATTCCTTCATTGCTTCAAAGACTGTATAAAATGTGTGATGCAGGAAATATTCTGCTTTGAGCTATGCTTCAGCATCATCTTTTTTATAAAGCTTAGTAGTGTAAGATTGGTTTTCCTCCATAACATCAGGAACAGTTAGTGATTTTCTTGGGGTTTTTTTGAGAGGGTATGTGTTTGGTTTTTTGTTGGTTTTTTTTGGTCACAGCTGGTATTCTTGCTAGTACAGTTTTGGTGACCTCTAGTTTAACATAAGCCATAATATTCGTACTGTAAGTTCTGTTAATAGGGCTGTCGCATCTGCAAGATGACACACAATCATATTGCAGACAAAATTCTTCACTGATCTTTTTCAGTTGATGGCCCTGAGAGATGTCCAGATGACTTTCCTTCTCTCCATCAAGGGGGCCAGTTAGCTCAGTGGTTTGAGCGCGGTGCTGGCAACAAGGACCAACACCGAGGTCGCGGGTTCGATTCCCACTCGGTCCCCATGTGTTGCCAGGTCTAGTTGAGAGGTGGTGTCCTTGCCATCACAGGGAGGTTGGACTAGATGATCTCTAAGGTCCCTTCCAGCCTAGGCCATTCTATGATTCTATGATACCCTCTCTACCCTCTCCCAAATTGTAGGTCAAGACAGAGAAGCTGTCCAGGTAGAATTCTGCCTTAACATGAGCGGACTTTCATATTCAGATCTTATCTTTCGGCTTTTCAGTGCTCAGGCTAAGATTGTGCACTTAATTTGGAATGAATATTTCTTTAGTGTTCTAACTGGATGAAATTATGTGATAGACTTATCATTTCTTTCCCATGGAAGGAGGAATTTTCATTGTATAATTTCTATTTAAAGCAGGCTTAGTAAAATGGTTGTATGTCTCGAGTAAATGTAATATTCTTGGTATGCATACATTATTCCCTGATCACTTTCTCTTTGTAATATTTACAAGTTTGTGTTTTTTCTTCCTAAAGATCTGCAGTGGGTTCAGATTTCTGATTCTAAAGAAGCTTTTAGACTGCTAAAACTTGGCTTGAAACACCAGAGTATTGCAAGCACAAAACTAAATACTTGCTCCAGCAGAAGGTGAGAAACATTGAGTAACACTGGGCACAGAATTGTGTGTAGGAGGAAGGAGAAACTAAAATAAGGCTTGTGCCTTTTAGGAGGGGAAGAAGCTTTAACAAGATGTCAATGTCTAGGTTTTGGTTTTGACACCCTTTAACAGTATGTGACCTCATGCTTTAAGACAAAAGGATTCAGTCCTTCAGTAAGATGAATATGTACAAAAGCTAACAAGGTTTTATCAAAACCTTGAAGCAAAAGTGTTCAGCTTTATTCCATGTAAATGTCTGAGGAAAAAGAAAAGTAAGTGCTACATAAACATCTCTTTAAAAGTTTGTATTTGATAGAGTATATGCTTAAATACATTGCCAGTTTCAACAATGTTTTGAACAGATATTGTAGAGGCTTAAAAATATTTTGAAGGTATTGTTTTATCACTTCACTGATTTAAACTTCTTCTTCTTCTTCTAGTCACAGCATATTCACAGTTAAGATACTAAAAATTGAAGATTCAGGAGTACCACAAGTGACTCGAGTCAATGAGTAAGTTCTGAGCAGAGTCCTCTTCTTTCAAGATGCTGTCAATTACCTCCTGTTGATGTATGGGTACTGTGCTAGACAGCCAGTGCTCCCTGGTAGAGCCTTGGGCTCATGTGGTGATTTCACCACATCCTACACTCAGAACAGTACTTGGCCTTCTACCTCAAGCCACTGGGTTGCAATGGTCTTCTCTATCTTGTCCCCTCTGCTCAGTACAAGGTTCTGCTGAACTCATCTTAAGTCCTCAGAAGGAAGAGGATGTTGCGCGGGAAGATAAGCATGTTGGGAAAGTGTTTGGCAGGAATTAGTATGAAATTTGATTTGAGTAAGCAACAATGAGAAGGATTGGAGTGTTCATGCATATGAAAAGGAAGAATTTTTTTCTCTAAGAAAAGCAATCATTTTTAGAAGTGAATAATTCCTGTGTGTTCTAAGGTAAATAAAGTGAATTTTCTTTATGTCCTTTCAGATTGGCGATGTGTGATCTTGCTGGTTCAGAAAGATGTACCAAGACACGCAATGAAGGTGATAGGTTGAAAGAGAGTGGAAATATAAACACCTCTCTTCTGACTCTAGGCAAGTGTATTAATGCACTCAAGAACTGTCAGCAGTCAAAGTAAGTCCTTTTACAAATTGCAAACTGTTTGTGGTCTTTAGGTATTGCCTGCAGTGTTTAAAATCTGTTGTTTAAAATATGCAGTGCTAACACTAAGCTTTTAGTTGAAAAGATATATAGACTTTTAAAGTCTACACAGTAAAATCTTGTTGATCTAACAAAGTTATCTTAAACTTGCATTGTTTTGCTTTTTGACTAAATCATTCAAATTCCAATACCCATTGAACATGCTATTATAGATTTTAACAATTTAACTTTCTTCTTCTGAGCCTTGCTTATCAAACAAACTTTGAAATGGTTTTAAAACACTCTTTTCACTGATGTCACAGTAAGTCAAATTTTGTGCCTTTTATTCCTCCTTTGTGACCCCTTTTATTCCTCTTCGGTGACCTAACTCCATTTTCTATGTACATCTAGTGTAACACTTTTCATCAGCAGGATATTTCTTTGCTATTATAACTCTGCACTTCTTGACAAAACTAGTCTGTTTTTTTCCTAAATTTTTGACATAACTTTAACACTCTCCTCCTGATCTAGCTGACCATATGTAGACAAAAGAAAACCTTCGTGTTATTTGTGCTTTAGCTTGGGGATCTAAATAAGAGTAAAATAAATTAAAAAGTTACCTGTCTGAAAACTAGTACAATATACAGTCACAGCTGGATGTAACTGTCCAGAAACAGCTTTCTCTGCAGGTTCTAATTTAAAGATCTATTTCTGTCCCAGAAGTTAAATGAACTCTGTCTGCTGATTGATATGCCCGGACACGTTTTGCCAAATTCTTTTACCACATAATGTTCTTCCTGACAGCCTATTCACAGTCCATCACACCTTAAGACGAAAAAACTTTTTTAGTGTGTGTTCCTGATTTAACCCTGTGTTTTGGGAATTTATGGTTCCTGTTCTTTCCAGACAGGAAACATGCATTAAAATAAGCAGCTGCTTGAAGGGCTATATATGTATTCAGAATGTCTTTTTCTGATCCCATTAACTTGGAATTTTAACAATATAGAGAAAATGATCTGAAGCATGATACCTTAAAGTGTTAATAGATGCCCCTTACAAGTTGAGTAGGAAACAGTAACTTTCTTAAAATGATTCTTGTTTATCAGTCTTGCAGCAAAGCTACTTTATGATCCATGTCGCTGTTCTCACAGGAGTGTCGTTATCTTGCTGAGTTCAGTAGCACTCTTCATATAACTGAAGAGCTGTTGTGTCCAAAATGCAGGCTGCTTATGAAGTGGCAAGTGTGGGTTTGGTCACATTTTAGAAACTCTGAGGGAATCTCCTATAAACATCAAAAGCTACATCACCAGCTGTTAAATTTAAGGACACATCTTCTGATCTAGGAAATGCCAAACTGCTGAGGGATTAGGGAAAATGTTCTGAAAGTATCTCCATGTGTTCCTACACTCAGTTTCTTGCCTAGGCACTTCCTATTGACCATTCTCACCTATTGAGATAGGTGTCTTATGTTGGATATTTTATGCCTAGGACTAGATAGATTGTGTACATGAATGTGGAAAGGAAGAAAGAGGTGGAGTACTGTTTAATGTAGCGTGAGGATAAGTGACCTACCCTATACTAGATGTTGAATGTGCTTTTTAAGTGCTCCCATTGATTGTATTGCTATAGCCTGTCTGAGATGATGACTAAAGCAGCAGTCACAACAGCCATGCAGTCTCTTAACAGACTGTTGTATCTAGTCCAAAACAATGTTAATTGATTTAAAGACTACTGCTTTTGTAAGTGCTTTTAAGTCTTTGGGCTGGATAGCTCTTACACTGACTGGAAATGATTAAACTTCTTGTCATCTCTTCTTTTGCCTCTAAAGGTTGCAGCAGCACATACCTTTCCGGGAAAGTAAGTTAACTCATTTTCTTCAAGGATTCTTCAGTGGAAGAGGAAAGGTATGCATGATAGTAAACATAAGCCAGTGTGCTTCAGCATATGATGAAACACTCAGCGTGCTAAAGTTCTCGGCCATTGCACAAAAAGTAAGTGTGTTGTTATTGTGATCAGTACATAGGATTTGCAGTTAAAGAACAGATTCTTTTCTATAAATATGAATTATTACTGGATTTTTTCTGTCTCATGTTGCAATTGTGTTTTCTAATCACTCCTACTCATGCTTTATTTCTCTGAAGAGCTTTTTAAAAAGCTTTATTGTGACTTTGTTGTTTTCCCCCTTTGGAGTGTGCAGATGGAAGCAGCTCCTGCCGAAAATCCAAAATTTCTTTAAAATGTCCAGTCTAACAAGACATTTACTATATTTGGAAGAAATTCCCTGAGATCTACGTAATTTTTTCTTCTCTACTCATAACATGCTTTTGCCTAGGAGCAATTCTAACAGCTGCATATGCTGCTGCTATCTCATTCTGGAGTATTGCTCACCTGAAATATTGATTGAGCACCAAAGGGAGTTTGAAAGGTCATCTTTATGTCTGTAAATGGGAAGGTGGAGGTTGAGCAGAATGAGTAAAGTGCAGTGATATAACCCTGGTGAAGTTAGAAAACAAAAGTGTCAGGGATCAGTGCTGCAGCCTTAATGGAAGCTGTGGAAAACTTCTGTTGACAGTTAGAGATCTTCAAAGGACAATAGATCCAGGCCTTTGGAATGTGACTCAACTAAGCAGGTTAGATACAACACTGAAAGACGCAGGCTGTAAGAGTAATGCATATGTTCAAGAAACAGAATTTGTATGATGACATTTGTGTAGTGCAACTAGAAACTCAAAAGTGCATGAAATACAGAAATATGTTGGTGAATGAGGCAGCAACCCTCTTGTCAGTTGTTGAGCTAGAGAAACTTAGTGTTACTGGCATCAAAAGATGGGTTAAACTGTAAAGCAACACCTTTGTACTCTAGCTGCAAAGTGGTTTAAGTAGAGGCTGTGAGGATAAGCTGGGGGAGTACCATGCTCAGGAGACACCTGTAGGAAACTGCAGCAGATGTATCTTGGAAATGCCAGTAGACACTTAAAAAGTAGTTATGGCTTTGTTCCTTGTTTTCTGGACAGGTTTTAGTTATGGACATGTCTGTACTTCCCCAAGATCAATCACTTGGCCAGAAATCAGAATCATCGCTGCTTTGCACTAAAATGCCAATCGTGAAGAAAAGAGCTACTATCCTATGGGACAGGAGCTTAGAAGATGTGATTGAAGATGACGATGATATGGAGGAACAGCAAAATGTGTCAAGAGAAGAAACAGTGCAGAAACATGAAGAAAATAAAGTTCTTATTGGAAAAGAAGAATATATGGTATGTGCCGAGGCTACTATAAGAGTTAGTGTAGCATGGTGTCCTGAAGCAAGGTATTCTCCTGGTTTCCACATCTCTCACCTTTTTTCTTTTTTTTTTTTTTTTCTGATCACCCTTGTGCTACTTAAATGCAGCATTGAGAAGCAAAAGTAGAACTACTTATGACTTAAAACTTTCACGCAATGGGCACTATGAAATGTTAAAAATGTTAAAAAAAAAAAAAGACTGAGCAGTAAAAGTTGCAGATTTATCTTTCTTTCCTTTTGGTAAGCAATAGTCAGTGCACAGCAAGTTTTACCTGTTTTTTTAGCAATACAGAAGACTGTTCCTTTGTACTCTGTACACAAGAAAACTCTGAAAACTGTTCTTCAAAGTAACAGCAATTTTGATTGCTTCTAGGAAAGACAGTAAGGAGGAGACAGAGGACTAGGGAGTGTTGTGTGGAGGTTTCATTAATATTTTCCCAAATGAGCATCTAGAAAACAATGGCCAAATCCTGTGGAGTTTAAGACTGTTTATTAAGACAACTTCTGGAATTCTTGTAATGAACTTAATGTTCTTTGCTAATGCCTGCTCTGTGCAAACTTAAAAATTACTGTGCTAGTACCAAACAGATATTTCAACCTACTCATTAAACCTCCTGCCTGAGTCAGCTAAGAAAAGAACTAAAACTTTTGCCAGCTGGAAAAGTAAAGTGTTGTTGTGGTGTTTAAGGAATGGGAAAAATCTCACTTATGTGAAACTATTTCTTTAAGAAAAAGTTAATACTAATGGTAATTCTAGGCACTGCTGAATGTCGTAGAAGATTTGAAAAACAAACTAATTACTGAAAAGAAGAATAAGTTACTGCTGGAACTAAAAATTCGTGAAGAAGTGGCACAAGAATTTACCCAATATTTTGCTGACCGGGAACAGGATTTCAAGTAAGTTAGCTCCAAGTGATTTTGAAGTCACTGGTTAAAAAAAAATTGAATTAAATTCACGTATTTCTGAAATCTGTTTCTTGGCCATAAGAGATCATGATCTTCTGCTAGATTTGCTGCTGCTATTAATAGATCAGTTTCTGTTTGGACTATGAGTACAAGAAAAGCACTCTGTGGGGGAAAGACTTTGGATATTTTTTTATTTTTTTTTGGTCTCCCTTGAGGGTGGAGTGGGTAGGAGTGTGTGGGTGGAATCTGTAAGTGGTGTTGGTTGCTGTAGAGGTCTCCCAAAGCAAAGAGTTTTGTTGACAGGATGTCTGTTGAAAGAGTGACACTTGCAAATTCTTCAGTTACTGAAGCCTTAGTGATGCTCTAAGCAGATATTCTTGCTCAAGAAGCTTGGAAAAAATGCTGGTATTTAAGTGGTATCCATAACCTGTGTGCGTATTTCTCTCCCACTTAGTCTTCAAATGGAGTATGTGTGAGAAATAAATCTGTGTTTTGGTGTAGCAACAGTGTTTTTTGTATGATTCTGTTGTGCTACAGAAAAAAACCCCTTTGTTTATAGGCAACTCTACTAATAACTTCTTAGCAGCTCCTCCTGGCTAACTCAGCTGACTTTTTTCCCACCATAGAGAGTGCCTTTCTCATGAACGAGAACGGCTTGAAGAGAATTCTGAAAGACGCCTGGAAATCTTCAAGGAACTTGTAAATGGTCATACTGAAAACCCAGATGAAGAAAATAAATTAAAGGATCAGCCTCGCAGTGAACAAGCTGTCCCTCTGGTATTTTTACCCCCCTGTACCATTTACGCCCCTTAACTATCTTTCTGTTACGATGGTGGTCTCTCTCAAACATAGAAGGATGGTTTCAAGTTGCTGTGTGCTGTGTAACTGTATCCTAGGCAAGACATATTTATCACACTTAATAGGAGTGATTGCTGAGCCTTAGGTATACATTTAGGAATCTTTGGGGTTTTCTGCATTTCTGCAATGTGAAGTAAAATTACTGTGTGCAAAGAAATTCAGGAGGAAAAGCTGTAATTATGGTATAAACTCTATTGCATTAAATGCCTATTTAAAGTATATGAAACTGACTTCTTAAGCTCCATATATGGACTGTACTGGATTGGTCCCAGAATTTTTCACCTTTAAGGCTATTCTACCTACAAGGGAAGCAATGAGAGTTGTATATACACTTAAGCCATAACTAACCTCCTAACTTGAGACTGCCTATTGTGAGTTTGGAAGCCTTTTTAAAAGCCTTTTTTAAAAAAAGAAAGACATCAAGGCAATGTTTTGAGTACAAGTATGTGGTCATAAACTTAAACTTGCTGATATGTGAAAATTTCAGATGTGTTTCTTCTAAAACTCTTTACTTGTGTTGTTCATTCAATATTCTCATTGGGTAGAGATAATACTGGCTTTCATATTAAATTTGGAGAGGATACTTATGTGGCGATATAAAAGGGAATGTTATGATAAGTCATTAAATGCTACAAAAATAAAGTAGCTATCAGGGACTTGCGTCTGAAGGTAAACGGAAATTGCCAATCACATCATGCATGAAGCAACAAGATGGTTTTGAAGCCAGGATTAACTGTGCTTTATGTCTGAATTCATAATAGTCTTCCAAATTTTCTGTAGAAGTGATGTCTATTATGTAACTGCTTGCTATTTCTAAGTAGATACAAATTATCTTCCAGGGTGAAAACTATAACATAGGACCAGGCACCTATGTTGATCTTGAGGGCATTATTAATTCTCTGCAGAATGATGTAATTGATATCAAAAAGCAGGCGGAAGAAGCACACAGATATATTGTGTCCCTAGAGGACCCACAGGAAGCCATAGGTTGGCTTGAAAAACACCTGGGAAAAATTGCCACTGAATTAACTAAGACCAAAGAAGAGTTGACGGAGAAAACCAATGAACTAGTCAAAACTCAAGAAGAGCTGTCACAGAAAACCAAAGGTAAGCTGTGTTTTAAGTGCGATGCAAAAGGCAGGAAAAAAGAAATGGCTGACTACTACAAAATAGAAATAATTCAGATGAGCAGGATTTTGGAGCCAAATCAATATATAGATGTGGTAACTAATTGTTTTGTGTATATTCACATTAACAATTCCACAGGCCTTGGTTATTTTGTTTTTAAGACAAAACTTAAAACTCTCGTCTCCGGACTTCTGAGTTCTGGGGTGAAACATCAACATGTTTGCTTGATTTCATGGTTATATTGTAGTCCTTACACTTCTTTGCTTTTTGCTGATGCAGTATTTTCAGGTATCCTGCAGAATGTTCCTAGGGGAAAAAGTAGCAATACATCATAATGTGATTTCAGTGGAAGTTTCTTGATGTGACCTGTATTTCACAGAGCTTGTAAAGCCCAGTTCCGAAAAGTAGAATTCAGCATGAAAATACTAGAAAATGTGGAAAAATATTTTACTGCTTATTTGATGCAGTATTCTCTTCTTGTTACAGACTTTGAAATGCAGTTGATTAAACTGGATGAGTCTGCTGAGCAGCTTAAAGAAGCAACTGAGGTAACTTTCTCTAGGAAAAACTTGTGCAAAACTATTTGCAATACAAAATTCTCGTAGCTTAAAATTGGTGTTAGAGTATGCTGCCTTTTTTTTTTTTTGTATCAAGCTTAGCTTAACTGATATTGTAAATGCATAGTATAGTTCAACAGTTTAACACTGACTAAACTACTATCCTTCATTTCCAAGAAAATGAATACACAGAATAAAAGGATTCAAGAACTAATGGACATTGTGGAGCAAAAAGATGATGTTATTGGCAGGCTACAAGATTTGATATCCCATTTAGAAGAAACCATAAAAGACTATGTAAGTCTTAGACATCTGAATTTCCTTTATACATAAAATTCAGATCTATTTTTATAGTGAAAAATCTAAGTCTATGCTTATAATGGACTTAACTACTTTGGAAAAATGAAATTTTTAAGTAATTCTACTTGCTTGAAATGGTAGCAGGTGAAGTTGGCATTGAACCTGAAAGAAGCAAAATGAGTTCAGGGGTGTATGTGAAAAGCGAGTCTCTTGAAAGCCATGATCTGGAGTTACTGGAGGACTGTAGATGGGACCATGAAGAGCCACTATAATGAAAGAGAACTTCAAACTGAGAGGGCTTTAAGGAGTGGAAATAGAGGGTTTATGTCACCTCCTCTATTTTTGACTGAATGGAAAAGGAAGGAAAAGAGGCTTTACTGCAGTAAAAGTAAATGTAACTTCAAATTTAATTGAAGTTAAAAGTTCATAATGTGAAAAGGACAGTGATTGTGTAAATTGACAACAAAAAAGTGTGTTCCACCTCAATGCCATACACACTTTCAAAGAAAGAGCAATAATATGAATGTATTGAGCAGAGTTTGAACTAAGAGGGAATGACCTGGGTATCTCTGCCTTTGTAATTAATAAAACCTGCATCTGGCTAGTCTACTGGTAGCCAAAAGACTAGCTTGGCTGAATGTATGCAAGCTCTGCATTTTGTAGTTTTCTGTTCTCTTCCTCTGCTTTCTGTACCGTGCAAAGCACTGTGCTTATTAGTAACTGAAGGCGAGCTTACTTTTTGGTTCGCGTAACTGATCTGCAACTGGCTTGTTCTTCTGACAACCCCTATACATGTTACTCAGATAGTTTTGTAAAAATATTCATACATAAAAGATTATTAAGACTTTTAACTGCTTAAAAACTTAAAAGTAATTGTAAAACTTAAAAGTAATTGATGTTATTTTAACATAGGACAACACTGTGACTGCCATTAAAAGAAAATTGGCAGAAAGGAACTCTAGCACCATGACTGAAAGCAGCCAATTCAAGAATTGTGAGGAAACTGGATTGGAAATGGGTAGAAAACGTTGCCTTGAAAATAAGCTTACTGTGGAAGATGAGCCACCTACAAAGAAAGGTACAAGTTCTACCATCATTCGACAGGGGGTCTTCCAAAAAACCTTGATTGCCATTCTTGAACAGAAGCAGAAAGTTCTGAAGTGTAAACATTATGTTATGAGGAGGAAATCTATGTTAAACTGTAAATGGAAGTAATGGTTATGTAAATATCATGTTTTGCAGAAGGTCCTATGCTGTTCACTTCTAAATTCTTAAAATAAAAGTTAGTTTTTAGACCCTTTCCTTTCTGCTGCTCTTTCTCATCTGTTAACTACAGCTGAGTCTGCAAGTACATTCTTAATTTCTTAAGTTGTTCTTGTACTAAACTTGTTACTTTCCCAGAAGTCTAGCAACAGCATCTCCTGCTCAAGGCTTTGTTTGTTTGTTTTAAACTGTCTAATCAACCATCAAAGATGTCAATGACTTACTGACTCTTCAGTCTTACAAGTATGTGCTGTGTGCATGCTGTGAGCACACCAGCTCTGGTTAAGATGATGATAGTGCTGGCAAAGGTGAAAAGCTTTCCACTTGGATGGAAGTAAACTTAAATCTGCAGATGGCATATTTTGTGCAGCTCTCATGTTTGTGCTTCTAATCTTCTGGCTTTCCTTGCTTTATCTGTGATCTTACTAATCTTTTTTTTAGAATGAGGTGAATAAACAACCTGCAACTGAAGCCTTTCAAGGATAAGGGTGAAACTTTAAGAGCACACCACCGCTTATGTTATCCCCTTCATTAAAGTGCATTAGTCAGTGAGATTGAGCTATATGGGACTGATTGTGCAAATGGTATTTGTAAGATCTGCCTGCATCTAACTTGACTTTAGGACAAAGCTGGAATTCAGTGTCCCATACATGTGGTGAAAGTATACGCAAAAGGGGAATGAAGGGTCTTCCCTTCATGTCCCTTACTTTCTTGCTTTCCTCCTATGGAATAAGTGCAAGTAAGAAAATCTTCCAGGCATCATTTGGGTGAGGATAGGATAGGAAAAAGAGAAATAAAATTTAAAATAGGAAGCAGAAAATATCTCTCTCCCTAAAGAGGGGTAAAACATGTTAAAAGGAGACATGTCAAACTCAGGAGCTTGATGGTGCGTAAACTGGACACTGGACTGTCATTCTTCACGTTATGTAGTGGAGGAACAAGGGGACACTCAATCTAGTAGAAGATCAGCTGAAGTTCATGGAAAAATCACTTGATGCACTGGGTAGTGAACTGCCCACTGCATGAGAAGGTGGGAGAGGCAGATAACTCTGATTCCAGGAGTGGTTAGACAAGCCGACAGCCAACCAGGTTCCTACACAGATACTGAAAGAGTTAATCAAGGATGTACTGTCTCGTATTCCTCCAACATTCTCGATTGTTCTTTGTTAGGGGAGTCCTGTAGATAGGGCCTGAGTCTACCAATAGTAGCAAAAGGAGGTAAAATATTAGGTTAGGCCAGCCTATGCTGTGTGATCCAGTAGGGTATTCCTAGTGTTTGTACAACCTGTTCAAATAAACATCATTCGAAGACTTTCTTAAAAGAAGCTTCTCTGTACCCAATGCATTTTTGAATTGTTTCTGTTGTCTTTAGCTGGGACGAGTATTGGATCCTAGTGCGACCATTTGATCATACAACCTACATAAATATTACAGGAAGGGGATGGTGGGATTTTTATCTTATGACTGAAGCTTGTTTAAGCAAATTAAAAAATAGGGAAGTTGTAGCTCTTCTCAAACAAGAAAATAAAGGGCTAACTAACAGTGCTAATTAAAGTCAGCACTGAGTGTTTTTTCTGTTGGAAAAATGGGCTCTTCAGTCATGTTAAATGTGTTTCTTTTGAGGATTGTTGAGAACATAAGGCATGTGATTTAAAAACAGTTGTCCAGGTACTCCATAATGGTGAAGTTTATTAATATATTTATTTACATTTAGCCATTCTCATTAAATGTGCTTGGCACAATAGAACAATGAGCACAGGTACACTCGTGGCTTTCTTCTAGAATTTAGATATGCTAGTGGCCTATGACCAAAGCTTATTTGGGGAGAAGACAGCTTATCTTGAGGTTCAGGTTTTTTTAGTCTTCCTAGGATCTGCCTTCCCATGTTTTGGGGTGGGGCTTTTTTTCTCCTTAGTATTTCCTACATAAAAAGTTCTGGACTGTATCTGGATATGTATCTTCTTGCATTAATATTTATCCTGCTTTGCTGCATTATTGTTGCTGGTACAAAGCATCTAGATTGCTTCTAAATCCTTCCTAAATCCTTTCTAAATCCTTCTAAATCATTCCCTGCAAAGGTCTAAGCTCTACTATTTTTTTCATCTTGCCACTTTGATTACAAAATATGTCTTAAGGCACCTCATCACCTCTTTCTTTTAGTGAAATATGTAAAATTCATGTCCAGTGTGAGGAACATGTAGTATTTTGCCTGCTATATTTTCTTGGGACTACTCAACTGGGCTATCAGAGAAAACGATCTCCCAATCAAAACTTTTTTTTAATCTTGTAGGATTTAGAAGCATGGCTTTAGAAGCCAAAGTAAAGCTTCTATTTTACCTGACTAAGCAGAAGTATGTGGTATGTCTAACTTGAGCAGAAAAGGCACAGGAACACAGGAGGGAAAAGTCCTGTGGAAAACAATAATTCTAAAAATTAAAAAAAACTGAGTTGAGATGGAAAACACGATTGCTGATGCTCCAGTAGGACTTTGTTAGTGACTCGGCATTAGTGACTCTATAAAACCTGTTGAATCTGTTCAGAGGATATTTCTGTGCAGTACACATGTACCCCTGTGCTTGATGCTCCCAAAGTGAGATGCTTGCTGAACTCCACCTTACTGTGGTTGCAGTGCTCACAAGAATCTAGAATATTTCCTGAGAGCACATGTCCTTAGAGATATTCAGGCTTGATTTTAATACTAAAACATAGAGTGCACGTTACTAAATGGACCCAGTTGGATCCTAAAATACCTCTGTGAAATACAGCTGAAGTCAATTTAGAAGGTGGTGAAATGCATGTGATTTTAGCTAGAATTACTTATTACTTAAGGGAAAAAACAGTCTTAAGCTAATAAAATATTTACAGAAATTTGGAGTTGCAATAGAATGTTGTACGTCTTTCTGGGAGAACTTTATGTGTAACACATTATGTATGGGCCTAAATAGCTACCCTTATGTAGTTTGGAAGCCAATTGGAAAAAGAAAGGTCTCGAACATGAAGCAAAACACTTGTTCTGAATTTTTAGCTTCAGTTTTAGAGTAAGAGGATATTGAATATGAATGAAACTTTTCACAAAACTTTCTATATACAGAATGGTGATTGCTGGTTGTATTAAAGAGATAGCTGAACCAGTGAAGGTTGAAACTAGATATAACAGTGAATGTTATCTAGCTCATAGGCATTACTACATATTCATAAAACTAGCTACTTTTTTCTACTAATAGAGTAGGTAAAGTGGTCTTTAGGGCTTCTAAACACCTCTTGCTGCAGGCTATCTTGAAGCCTAAGAGGCACCTATTGCATGTCAAACCATGCAGGAGGCTTTAACTGCTTCAAGACTTCAAAATGCCATATGATATGAGGGTGTGGCTTTCAGACAGTGACTATTTTCCATATGGTAATGGTTATTTGATATTGCTCATGACTTGTACTATTGATTTTAATCAAGCTGAGTTGTATGGGTTTGGGTTTTTTGGTTTTGTTTTTTTTTTTAGGAGACACAAAGGAGACTTGGGAAGATAACTCTCTCGAGCAAAAGAGAACCGAATATGTGAAAACAAATACTAAAAAGGACTGTGCAGAAACACTAGCACTGAAGGAAAGAACTGAAACCTTGGAAGGTCAGCTAGCTGCAGTTGAAGAGCAATGCAGAAGAGAGAAAAGTGAAAAGGAAGAGCTGAGTGGGCAGATAAGAAACTTGCATCTCAAGCTCTCTGCTTCTGAAGAAAGAGCTGATGGCTTAAGTGAAGAACTTCAACGGTGTCAAGCTGGCTATCAGGAGATCGCCTCTGAATTGGACAAACAGAAAACTATAAATAAGGAACAAGAAGAGAAGATTATTCAGCTAAATAATGAAGTAGAAGATGCCAAACAAAATATAATTGATAAAATGTCAAAAATCAAAACAATGCAGTCCAAAGTAGATGAGATGTATAAATGCCACTTAGAATCTTATGCTATGGATATTGATTTAGTTAATCTAAAGGATTCCTTAGATTCTGAAAAAAATGAAACAGAGAGTGCTCAGATGAGTCCTGTAGGCATGCAGTCCCAAACTGCTTCTAAAGCAGATCTGAGACAGGAGAGCTCCTTTCACTGCAGTGTTGAAAGCATTTGGGAAGAATGCAAAAATATTATTATGGCTTCTTCACAGAAAAGTCAGCGGATCCAGCAACTACTTCAACAAGTTGAAGAGTTAAAGAAGGGACTTGATGCCGCTGAGAACTGTAATAATCAACTAAAAATAAAATTAGGTGAGATTGCAAATCAAGATGATCAGTCCATAAAAGAAAAAGATTTTATAAATCAGTTACAAGAGCAAATCCAGAAGCAAATACAAGATTTTGAAAAACAGGCTGCAGAAGATCACAGAGTAATTGCACAGTTTGAGGAGGAAACTACCAGCTACAAGGGAAAAATAAGAGAGCTTGAATGCCTTTTGGAGGGTTTTAGAGCTAGAGATGACAGCATAATGAAGTTAGAAGAAGTACTTAAAGAAAAAGAATCTATTATTTCAAATCTAGAAAGTAGTACAGTAGCACTGCAAGAGAAATGTGCCAATTCAGATGAAAAACTGAAAGAATTAAATGATCAAGAAGCAAATCTGAAGGAGGAAGTTCTACAGTTGATGAGCAGCTTGGAGAACATGAAACAGTCTCTTCAGGAAAAGGAGAAAAATGAAGATGACCAAATACGATCTATAGAATTGTAAGTAAATAATGAGAACTCATAGCCCTTTGAGAGTACACTCAAGTTAAAACTACTTTCTGTGAACATCAGGTTGTTTTGATGTAATACATTTGCATGTTTATCAGCTTTATTAACTAAATTGCAAGTTTTAACACACTACTTGAATTTTGTATTTGTGTATTCTGCTGGCTACATTTTCTTCACCCATTTGAATATTCTTTCAAAAATATAGACCTAAACCATGTGAAATTATTGTAGGAGGAGACAGGACATGAAGAATTATTTGGGGATTTCTAATAGTTTCATGTTGTGTAGCCTTTCTGGAGGAAATGACATAGAATTTAATGTTGTACCCTGTAACTTGTATGAAAGCAGGCGATATTTTCTTTGGAAAGGACTGAATAATAAAAAGGAAAAGAAGAAAGAAATAAAAACTTCCTGTTGTTTAAACAGTAAAGAGCTGATTTTGGTATAAGTTCTTCTAGATGATCACAGGCTACTGTAAGAACTTGAAGGAATAATGAGTGTAGGAGAGTAAACTTCCCCCAGCCTCTTCTACGTGTTTTTTTTTTTTTTTTTTTTTTTTTTACAACTTGAAGAAATAAGGGATTAAGTGTATCCAACAGATTATATTTGCTATATGGTAAGAAATTTGCAATAATGCAAAAGTAGCTTTAAGATGCTGGATACCTCTTCTGATGAGGGTTTCTTTAGTGCCTTATCCGTGAGTATCTGCATATACTCTAAAGTACAATTAAACACAAAGGTCTGAGGATTCCCCAACCCAGTGCTTGTAAAGCTTTGAAACATTTTTATTTTGTGAGGCCTCATCTTGTATTGTCAGTTATAGAATCAAAATAACGACTTTGATTAGTTAGTTTTAAAGTAAAAACACAAGATGTCTTACTGTAAGTTGTTAAAAAACATTAAACCCATCGAACTTATTAATTATTTTGTAGCACTTTGTAACAGCTGTACTTGCTACAATGTTACTGTTTCTTCTGTTCTTTATTACTTTTTTCCTTACAAGATTTGGGATCTGGATACCAGATTTAAATTGACTTGATATTAACCTTGTTCTTCATCATAGGTGTCCTTACAAAATAATAGTTGCTCTACTATGCTTAAAAAAAATTATTAAACTGCAGTGTTCAAAATTAAATTTTATCAGTTCATTACTTCAGGATCCCACAATAAGAAGCTGAAACCCAGAAGTAAAATTATAAAGCTTACCATTGATCTGATAGATCTGAGATTTTATTAATGAAAAAAGTAATGAAAGTTTTGAGTTAATGTGTAAAAGATGGGAGTTTTTTTAGATATGCAACACTAATGTTATTTATGTATTAATTCCTAACACGAGGCTACGTAAAGATCTTGCTGAGAGCTCTGCCCTTGTACAGAGTTTGAAAAAAGATTTGCAGAGGAAAGAGGAAGAATACGCAGATCTGAAAGAGAAATTTTCTGATGCCAAGAAACAAATTCATCAAGTACAAAAGGAGGTTGGTAACTATAGGCCAAATATTTCTTGTGCAAGTTTGACTGGGGTTCTACTGTTAAAACCTGTTTTCACAAATCTCAAACTAAGAATATTAATAGTGATTCATGATAAGGCTATTTTCAGTGAAACATTTCCAGTAACAGTGAATCTTGCGTTACATTGCCATTGAAGCTGTAACCTAGAGATAAGACCAGATGTCAAAACACGAGTTAGTACAGGTAATGAAGTGGGAAAGTAGATTTTATTAATACAGTTGAAAAATGTTTGTGGAAACTATGGCTAATCTGGTTATGCAGAAGAACTTTGTATCCTTTGTAATAATAGTAGTTGTTATTTGTGCTGACTTCTAAGCCTCAGACTTCAGACTTGTAGAAAATTGTGATCTCTGAGGGGAAAAGAGGGATTAATCAGAAAAGGAAAGCATGCACTTCTGGAGACTTTAAAATCTGAACTGTGTTTTCTAATAAGGTTAGAGAGAAGAAATGAAAAAACTTTTTACTGGTGTTAATTGTTATTATTTAGTTATCTATCAAGCAGCAGGATTTCTTAGAACCTCATGGAATATCACAAGAACTTAAAATCCAAAAGACTTGTAAAAGTTTGGGCTTGAAAGTTAAGCCTAAAAAAAAAAAAGTATTAATGTCTTCTCCAGTAGCCTAACATTTGAGGATCTTTTCCTACTCACATTGTGTATAATCCTCTGTTTGAGAAGAAGCAAGGAATGGGCGGGGCCACATGTCAGTAAACTTTTTTTTTTTTTGGTAAAGGACGAATGACTCGGTAGTTTGATTACATTATTTTCTGGCGGGAATTTCTGGAGTGGGTTGGTTTGTTTGGGTTTTTTGTGTGTTGTTGTTATTTGTTTTCCTCCCCCATGCCAAATGAAATTTTTCAAAGAGGCTTGCAAAAATTTGACTCTCAAATAGAGTGTTTTGTTTATCTGGATAACTTTCAGAGGCTGTAAAATGCTTATAGCTAAATGTTAGCTTTGTTTGCTTTGTGTCTTGTAACAGATGTGTACAATGCGATCTGAGGAGAAATCCTTGAGAAACAAAGTTAATGAACTTCAAAAAATTAAAATCCAGTTTAGTGAAGAATTAGATATCAAACAGCGCACAATCCTGCAACTTAAAAAGGTATTTTATTTTTTTAGACATTAATTGCTCTAATTTTCTTTAACTAAACCATTAATAAGGCAGGTTTTTCAAGCAACAGGAGAAAGCTTACAGAAATTGCAATAAAAATAAGAGTAGCCAACTGAAATAATGTTAATTGATGAATGAAAAATATTCAGATAACTTCTCACTGCAGGACATCGTCATATTGTTTTAAACAATCTGCATAGTAAATATATACTTAATACCTGCAGTTATCCTGATTCTCATTAGTGACACTTAGATATGTTAGTTAGTAATGTCTTCCTCAACTTTTTTTTTAATCACCTTGAATGCTCTTGTACACTATATGAAAAACGTTTTCTAGAATGTTTTATTAAATACTTTATTCGCTACTTACGTGCTTTTCATTCTGAACTTTAGTATATCTGTGTCTTTCAACCCATTTTTTTTTAATTTGCTTTCAATGTGCTATTTAGGAGCAGTTGAATAATGAGAAGCTGGAAGAAATCTCCAAACAGTATGAGAAAGCACACAAAGGTCAGAAAAAGAAGTTGGTTTTTTGTTGGGGGATTTTTGTTTGGTTTTTGGGGGGGGGGGGGTGTGTTTTGTGGGGTTTTTTTTGGATATTTTGTGTGTATGTGTGTGGAATGGCAACGTAAAGAGTTGCCATGTTAATGAATTTGGAGATACTTGTTGCACATACATTTTAAAATACTGAGTAACTCCAACCTGAACATTAAAATGTTATGGTCAGGAACTAAGCTTTATTGAACGTTTATTAGCAGATGTATCTGAAAGCAAAGAAACAGTCTCAGAATAAGAAGCATAAGCCCCAGAGAAAGTGTGAGTTTGTAGGATTGGTATCAATATATTAAGTGTTGGTATTTATTTGCCATTTTAGTTGGGCTGTTGTAACAAACCAAACACCGAAACATAAACTAGCACAGTAAGATTCTGCAAGCTAGATAAACATGTAGCAACTGAAAAATGGTTAGATACAAACCATGGTCTGACTGATGTTGACACTGAAATGCGCACCTAGATCAAGTTGATGAAAATCATTTAGGAATTTTGGATTTGGATAGTTCAGTAGAGATGCTCTATTTCTCTCGAATAGAACTTTTGGTCTCCAGAAATGGGGGAAATGAATTGTGATGAAGCTACTTTGGGAGAGAATGGTGGGAGCTAGGAGAGGGCTCATCTGTTAACTTGTTTTCAAATCTTCAGATCTGTGCGCAAAGGAAAAACTGATTGAAGATATGCGGATGACACTACAAGAACAGGAACAAACTCAGATTGAACAAGATCAAGTGCTTGAAGCCAAACTAGAAGAGACCAACAAATTGGTTTGGGGTAATCTCTCTATGGAAAGGGAGCAAGGAGGCAAAACTGTTTTGGCTGTTTTGTGAAAGCTGCTTTAAATTTCTATTTTTATTTCTTGACTGTTATTTAGGCATTGATTTCAAGTAGTACATGACAAACTTCTAACACTTAAAGTCTTCTGTTGTCCCTTTGTGGTCGTAACTAATAAATCAAAGTAACTTTTTAGCAAAAGGGTGTGAATGTGGTCAAAATACAATTGAAACTATACGTTATGTAACTTCGTTTTGTGTACTGACTAGAACTGGAAGAATGGAAGCAGAAATATAGAGAACTGAGTAACCAGCGCAATAGTCACTGGCAGCAAAAGATGAGCAAAAATGAGGAGAAAAATGTAAATGAAAATGAGGAATTAATGAAGCTGCAAAAAGAACAGAAGGTAAAATATGGTGGCATTATTCATACTTTAATGTAAAGCCATAACTTTTGTTTGGGAGTCTGGATTATTTTGTGTTGCTGTCTTCAAGAGCTAAAGCGTGAAATGGCAAGTTGTTATACAGACAAAGGACACCTCTAAAAGCTGTGCAGCAAAGTCTGGGTGCAGCATCTTTGTAATAATGTGAGCAGCACTGATACCCCATAATGGAGTGTACCCTTCACTGCGTTCTGCTGTTGTGGGTGGTGGTGCTGCAGCTGGGCTCCTCTACAGTTGTCTTAGCCAGTTCAACTCGCGGGATCCATTCCAGGTCTTTTTACTGTCAGTTGCTTGGGCAGCTAAATCAAACACTTTCAAGATTTTGTGCTGGCTATATGACCTGTAAGCCCTTCTTAATAGGCTGAAGATTTCTAATTGTTTTTGGATTAGAAAGTAGACTTTTTTTTCCAAACAGTGTTTCAAGTGCCTTCTATGTTCTTGTCAGACATTGTCCCAGATACTTGACTGTGATAGGAAAGGAGGTAAAATTGTTGTGAAATAGGTTAGGTTCTTAGGTAGGCTGACAGTGCATACCTACATTCAAATTGTACTGTGTTTTTTACATTTCAGTCTTGAAGAGAATTTTCTAATACATCCTGTAAGGCTGTATAAAAGATTGGAAAATTGTGAGTTAGAAGGGTCTCTAACTTTGATAGTGTTTGTGACTTACCTAGAGCATTTTGAGGAAAGAAAATTCTGTTTCATGAAGACGTGTCAGTTTGAATAACAAGTGCTGAGAATTGTAGATATTTTAAATGGAGAAGACCAAATGAAAGTGTAATACTTGTGCTTGGGAATATGCCGGAGTAAAACTCTGCTAGTATTTCTGTTATCATTTTGAAGCGAATGTGTTTAATGGTAATTTGCATTTTAAGACTTTTTCTTAATCTCTACCTGTGGTTTTGTTTCTCGTTTCATTAAAATAGGAAAATGAGGCAAAGTATCAAATAGATAGAAAGAAGTGGCTGGAGGAAAAAATGGGACTCATAAGTCAGGTAGAAGAAGCTGAGACCCATCGCAACAGAGAAATGAGAAAATTTGCAGAGGAGAGACAACGCCATGTAAAGCAACATGCAGAAATTGTAAGTGACTGGAGGTCTCGACTGAGTCCTCTAGTGTTAAGTCTTTAGTACAGAGCAAATCTCATGTCAGATGTTAGTAGTGTGGGTGCTGGAGGGTAGCTGACCTTCGTTGAAGACCCCTCTCTTTATCACATGGCAAAGTTTAGGTGAGATCTTCTCAATATGAAAAGGGAAGGAGGGTCACAAAATGAAAAAGCATAATATATAATGGAATTAATATGTCTGTTCCTTTCTATCCTATTGCCACCTCACTGAGTTCTTCAAACTTCATCTTGTGTGTTAAACACCACTGAGTAAACTATATGTAAATGAATTGCTACTTAATGAGGCTAAGAAAACATACTTTTGAAAACCAGTGTTGCTTGGCTTTTCAAAAAAACCACCAAAACCACAAAAAAAATGAAACCTATGGGTCTTTAGAAGAAAGAGGAAAAGACAAGAAGTTGACCAAAAAACTCCAACTTCCTTCCAGATAGAGAGTGAAAATACTTGGTTAAAATGCTAGTGGCTTTGCTCCCAAATCACCTTTCAAATTTGAGTGACTGATAACAAGGTGCATACTTTGCCTGTTCACTAGACTACATCCAGGTTGTAATTTCTTAGGCATATGAAATTAGTATCAGAATGTGTACAATCTAAAACTACTTGAATCTGGAAGCACTTAGCAATGACTTTCTGGACCTGTGATCAGTACTGGAGGATGTTAGAATCTTAGGGCTACTTTCACTTTATGACTTTGCCTGCCTCAGTCTTGTTAGTGATAACAAGCGATCAAACGGGAGTGGTGGTTCTTAGCAAAAAATTCTCTTCATGAAGGATATGATAGGTACAGATGTCCTAATTGAAGCATGGTTTAGTTTTGCATATTTCTAGTGAAACTAGTTCTGTGTGAGCTTTTTAAGATCTCTACATAGGCTCTCAAGTTTACTAAGGCCATAAAACAGTACTAATGATGCAAAAACCAAAGTCAGAACAGTTCAGATAGTGTGTAAAATTTCAGTTCTAAGCTGTTTTTTCCCCATTTAGGAAAGACTTGCCGCACAGCTGGTAGAAAAGGACAGCAATCTGCAAAAGTGGCGTGAAGAAAGAGATAAATTAGTAGAAGCTTTGGAAATACAGCTCAAGGCTATGGCTTCTAACACCATACAAAAAGACAAAGAAATAGCAGAATTGAAACAGGCTGCACTGAAGGATTCGGGAAAGGTCATCTCTCTTGTTCCTGTGTGATTTTTTTTTTTTTTTTTCCTTTGGTTATCCATTAATTCTGAAAAATTACTTACTCTTTGCATTTTTGGCTCTATTTTTTGTTATTAAACATTGTCATTTTGAACTCATTTGCAGATAATTAAAAAAAGCTTTGATTTTTTTTGTAACTGAGTTTATGACAGTAACTGAAGTTGATTCAAGTCAATTTGACTTGAGTGCTTATTTAAAAATACGAAATATTAACTATAATTGCCAAGTTGGACTGGAAACACGAAGCAAGTATCAAATTGCTGCCTTTTTCACAGTACCAAGGACTTCATGAGGAAATGAGATGTGAACTTTTAACCTCTACATAAGTAGAGTGAAATAAAAAATTCCTCATTACAGCTTCCCAGGCTGTTATATGACTTTTTTTCACTTTGAAAAGTGGCCACTCATACATGAAATTATTGGCTTTTTGTTGGATAGCTGACTAGTTTAACCTGCAATTCTAAAACTAATGCAACCAAGTAATCACAATGATGCTCATGTATATGTTGATTTCTTTTGCCCGTCCTGCAATTTGTGGCATTTCTTGCTATGTTTATTAGGATAAAGAAGCTGATATAGAAGCATTAAGAAAACAGCTAGCTGAGAAAGACAACTTAATAAAAGAATTGCAACAACGCATTAACCATGAAAGTGTTCAGTCTTTGGCGGAAGTATCCTTACCTGAAGAAGGACAAGATAAAACAGATCAGTCTGTAAACAAAGAGGTATGTTTCTTCAGTTCATACAAAGTATGTACTAGTGGTATGTTGTTAATAGCTTGTTTTGTTGGTTTCTTAGTATATATTTCAGCAACATTGATAATGTCCCAGAAGTTACTTCTCTTAGTTATTCGTATTTTATCATTAGTTTTGAGTTCTTGTTAATTCTGGTTTTTTTTCTCCCTCTTTCACACTCACTCTCAGGAAAAAGAAGTGCTTTAGTTTTATAGAACTTATGTACTTGAGGGAAAAGCTAGTTGCCTAATATGGGTTCTAGAGACTTAAAGATATAATATTTGTGATGTCATCTCAGTTTGGTTATACTAGTGTATGGGGTTTTCAGCATAACTTTCCCAATACCACCTACAGTGTAATAATAGGGAAGATTCTGTAATTAGAGCTGCCAGCCCATACAGGGGTTCACAAGAATAAAATAGTATCTTGTGCCCCACTTCAAACCAAACCAATGCCTGAAGCTTACACAAAGATCAACACTGCATATTTCCTGACCAAAAATGAAAAGGCTTGGAACTGTACTGAGACCCCCAATTCTGATCAAACCCTTGTGTGCTACATGAACAGTAATTAGTGAGGTAGTTCTGCTAAACTGAATTAATGCTGTGTGGCTCCATTGCTAATTAATAATGAACAGGTCTGAACACTGATTTCCTAACAGTCCCTCCCCTGGATTCTAGAAGGTGTGATTCTCTTCTCGGTACTGGACTGAATGCCAGAATTCATCTCTTTATCTCTTTCCCATCTAGTGCCAAATAAGACTGTCTAGCTAGTTTCTTGCTACTTCTTCAATACACCTAGTGCCATATAGATAAAACTTGTGATGTATGAGGGAGGACAGAAGGGTTCAGAAGGTCTCAGAAAGGTTACTGCTCTATATATCTTATAATAGCAGCTGAGAGAGCACCATAAAATTAGTTTTTTTGCTATAAAATTAGTTACAAAGAATTATTGTGAACAATCAGGGCTGAATTATTTACCTCAAGCTACTAGTAACAATATTTGATGTTAAGGAGATAAGGATAGGCTGCTAACAGGTTATTGTGTGAGAAACTTAGGGTGACGGTGAAGTGAATGGGGTAGAGTTTTGGGGGAAGGTAAAGTAATTCTCAGGAAAGATATAGTGGAAGTAGAAGAAAACCTAAAGATACCAAAATGTGGTATGTGTCTTCCGCCTTGTTTGGAAAAGCTAAGGAGGTGGCACTCTGATGAGAGGAGGTTAAAGCCACCACAGGGTTATGCAGATGAGGCTGACAAAATCGTGGGTAAACAGAAGGCAGAACTACCCTTCCTCAAATCCTGCCAGAATGGGGCAGTTCTTTTAATTCCTGTATGAAACAGCTAGTGATCTTCTGGAGAGCATGGAAGCACGTCCTGTCGGCAGGGATTAGAAAAATTTGTAGTAGAAATCGTTTGTCTTTGTAAGTGGATACTCTGGGCATAAGGCAGAGGTGTAACCTCTGAGACTTTCTAATACAACAGCTGGAAGTGCTGGGAGAGTGTGGAGCAAACAGATGACAAAGTGACCAGGGTCACACACACAACTGTTAAATAACATCTCCTTTTACCACTCTTGGAGGCAGAATGTTGAACTAGACAGACCAGACCCAGAAGGGCACATTTTATGATCACATCATGAGTAAATGTTGCTAAGTTAAATTCATGCTACCTTTAATCCTAGGTGTTCATTAGCTGCCTGCACTAGACTTTATATTGCAGCATTAGAAAACTCAAAATATTTTGAGGTTTACAGTCTAGGATAATCTCATTCTGAATATTTACAGTTTATGGAAGAAATATACAAGATTAATCCTGTATCTGGACAAAGTATTCCATTAAGAGGTGATGAATTTAAAGAGAATTATTCATTATTTCAATGTCTTAGCAGTGCCTCTTCATTAAGTGATGTTGTTTAAAGCTTTAAATTTGGAAATTTTGTGCAGTTGTATGAATTTTGCTAAATGCAGAATAAGGAAGAAAATTTGAACAATTTGAAAGGTTTATTCTGCAAATCCCTTGGTGATTGCCTGATATAGTGACTTTTGGTAGACATAAAAGCTGTGGAACATAAGCATGTGAATAATTATATCTGACTTCAGTTGTGTGCTCTTGAAAACTTACTTCTCACCAGTGCTTATGAAGTGGCTGACTATTAGATAAGTCACCAGAAAAAAATTTATAAACACTTTTAAAGGATGAGCAATCACAGGGCATATTTGATTTGCTTTCTTCCACTGCAGAATTCCTGTGTGTAGCTATGTTAGCTAATGACACTAACCATCCCTATGTAACTTCTTGATTGCTGACTCTTTCATGAAGTAGCATTTATAAAGAAAACTAGTTTTATTAGCCAACTCCATTCTTGGGAATGCAGTGGTGTTGGTATTCCTACTCGAAATTCCAGCAGAGCCTGTTTGAAGAAGGTGACTGCCTTTTGGCTTTGCATGAGCTTCGATATTTTTCCTTTTTGAGAGGAACTTCAGGGAACTTCATGGTGAACCAGCATAAGAAGACACAGTAGTAGCAGCCACCTGCTGTTTCTGACCACTACTAACCCCAGCACCTTATCTTCCATTCATTCAAACAGCTGCTGAATGCATTTTTGTATGCTAGCCAACAGCTGAACTGCTGCTGCAGATTCAGGAGCCAGGGAGACCACAGCTCCGACTTTCTTGCTGGTTTTGCTAAGAACAGGGTTAGCAAAACCCTGTTAGTTAAGACTTCTATTATAAGTGTTCTCAAAGCTAGCAGCTGGAGAATGAAATCCTTACTTTGCAATCTAGGAAGAGGTGTATATATATATATTATGGTTTTTTTAACTCATAATTATTTTAAAACTTATTTTCTTAAAATTTCCATATGCTTGCAGGATCATTCAGACGTTGTCCTTGACTCTTCTGAAGTGTCCACAGAAAATGGAAAAACTAGTCTATTCCCAAAACCAGAGATGGAAATCCAGTTAGCACCTCTGCAACCAGATAAGATAGAGGTGAAGCACCAGGGCAGTTCCTTACCAGTTACAGTTAAACTGCTCCAATCAAGAAAGAAAAGGAAGAGCGAAGAGATGGATGAGGTATGACCTAGACCAACCACTAAAATATGTTGTGCAGTTTTTTTGATCTATTACTCTGATCATTTGTTAAAACCCTATCTTTATCTTCTCATTCTCACTGGGGTCCTAAGGATATATGTAGGGTATATTTAAACCTCTTTTTTTCACCCCCATAGGTGGTGGTTATTTGACTTTGTGTTGAATAAGGTCATAGACTTCAGTTTATCTGGACTGGCCCCTTGTCCCTAATTTGCACTTGCTCTTTACCTTTTACATTTCTCTCTCCCTGCTGGTTCCATTTACTCCTGTCTCCAGCTCCCAGCTGTGGGATTACAGAGTAGTTCTATAGAATTGCTTCTTGTCTAGCCTATCATTGGTATGAATTATAATCTCTTCTAATAGGCAAGTACAAGTCAAGCCCCTGGGTTTAATAAATGCATTTCAGAGTTTCAAAACCAATTCCTTTGACTCTGTTTCTCAAGCCTGCGTTTTCTTTGTTATTTTTATACTTAGAGGGACTATACAAAATTAATTGCACCAGCACCTGAACCTCCCTGTTTTCTGTAGACCTCAATTCCTTTTGAATTCCTTCAGTTATGCTAAGTTATACGCTCCTGCCCTCTTTATGTGCTGAGATGTTTACATGTGAGGCTAAGGCTCCACAGCAGTTCAAGATGGTGAAAATCTTCACTGCTTCTACCTGAACCGCATGTTCCTTTCCTCGGCATTTTATCAATGTTTGCGCCAACACACCAGTATCTCAGACAAAGACTATGAAACCCTAAATCCACACTAGTGTGCTACTTACATACTTGTAGTCCTACTCTATATTTTTAAGGACTTCTGAAGCTAACAGGTGAGTATGAAGGAGATGACGAGTGGAAGATTTGGCCAGGTGGTAAATGATCTCTTTCAGTGAGGGAGCTTGTCTCAGCTAGAGAGTGAAATATCTGATGTTTTTCTAGCATTTTCATTCAAGCATTCCCAAGTGATATTAAATCTCCTAGTGAGATAGGTAAAAGAAATAATTACTTCAGTGATTAATGTTCAACAGTACTTTGATAAACTCATTTCGATAAACTTGGACTGCAAAAGTAACTGTTAAAAGCTGTGTAAGACAATTCACCTGGAATTCAACGCTTCAATCTCAAATAATGTCCAGAGTTGACTTTTAACCTTCTTGTGTCTTGAACCAATTTGCTTCTTAGAGTAGTATTCTCTCATACTGCTGGGAAAACTGGGAACAAAAATAACCACCCTTCCTTTAGGCCAGGTTGGATGGGACTTTGGGCAACCTGGGCTAGTGGGAGAGAGGTGTCCCTGCCCACAGCACAGGGGTTGGAACTAGCTGATCTTCAAGGTCCCTTCCAACCTTAACTCTTCTGTGATTCTATGAAGGTTTCATTCATGTGAATGTTACTCTTAAATATTTATTTTTTTTATATATGCCAAACAGAAACAATTAAGTAAAATTAAGTAATTTTAACTGTCAAAAGTCTACTGAGGACACAATTTTTTCAGTTTCCTAAAACTGAAAAAGACATTCTCAGCACTAAAACTAGGGACCAAGGGGAAACCTGTAGTGTTAAAAATAACTATATACTGTGCATCTCAAATTTCTAACAAATAAAGCAAAACCCCCTTGGTTTTTTTTTTTAAAAGAAACAAACAAAATCATATCTTTTGCAGAGGCTCCCTTTTAATTAAGCAAAGAAAATCTTCCTTCCTTTTTCTACACTCTTCTTGTTGGTATGGCTATCAGTTATCTGGTATTTGTTGGCACCACCTCAGAAGAGAGGATGTCTTTTAATCACAGTTTAACAATGACACTGTGTTACCAACCTCTTTATATTGCCACTGTAAATCTGAATTTAAGTTTAGAGTTATTGAGTTAATTTCAGTTTGTCGTTTGCTTGTCAAATGTCTTGTAGCCAAAAGTATAGAAAATAATGGAGAGAGGAAAACAGTAAATGTCAGAATGATTTGACTACAGGTGTTTCTATTTCTCTTCCACAAGCTTTCGTCAGTTTAATTCACATTTGAATAATTACCTCTACCCAATATTAGCCAGAGTCTCGCTGCTGTTAGTCCTATAGTTGCTGTTACTGTAATACAAATAATTGTTGTTCTTTCCAGAAGAATCCTGGTTAAAACTTGTCATATTTGTTTTCTTAGGATTTTGTGAAAAGTGAGAACAAGAAAAATGCAAAACCTGCTATGACTAATTCACCTTCTACAAGCAACAAGAAAATGGTTTGATTTTGTTCTATTTTTGACATTAATTTGGCTTTCTCTGTAAAGGTGGACTTATGACAGGAACAAACATTCCTACACAGCATTATCCTATCCTTATCTATGCACTCGTACTTATTTTCCCCACCAGTTTCCTCCTGTGTTATGGCTAGAACACCTTGTCTAATGAAACTCTACAACTTTGAATCTACTTTTTCTTTTCTTTTATTGTCTCATATATTACTCATGCCCTTAAATGTAGTCTCTGAAACTTTGACAATTTTTTTCTTCTGGATATGAAAGAGATTGTCTACATTGCTTGAAGCGGCAGTATTGTTAGTGTAATGAACAGACATGTCAGTAGAAAAGTGCAAAATGTCAGCTTGAAAATAACATTGAAGTAAAATGGAATTAAACTTGAAGAAAAGTCAATTTTCAACTTAAAAAGTGATCTTGTATTTCTATACAGATGCCTACTCCACGGTCATTTAGAAAGGAATACCCCTTAAGAAAGCAAGAATCTAATTTAAGTAAGAAGTCAGCTAAAAAGAAGGATGGAACACTACAAAAAATTGGTGATTTTTTCCAAAACTCTCCTACTATTATTCACTCTAAAGGTTTGTACAGAATAAATAAGGCTTATTGTATGTTTTCTGGGCATTATAGCTTTTTACTACTGTAATCTATTCATGTATGTGTTGCTAAAGGACACATCTGCTGCATTAAGTTATTCTTTCATTTATGAAATAACAAAGTCTGAAGTGAGTCCTGCTGTATTGAACCTTGCAGAGTAGAAAAGACTGTGCTGAGTGCAAGGACCACATGGTTCTAAAGTTTAGTTCAACTGTGAAAGGTAAACTAGTGGAATGAAAGGATGCACTGTGGAATATGTGCATATATATTGTTTATAAAAGCCATGATAACAATTAAGCTCAAAATGTATGAGCTACTTTGTTTTTGCTTACAGTAAAACAGTTGAACGCAATTTCAGAAACTTGCCTCGCTTCTAAAAAACCAAATAAATCAAGATCTGAATCCGAACTCCAAATCTTACCTTGTTCTATTAGCAATGCTGCTTCTTTCCCTTCCCACCATCCTTTGTTTCTGTGGAAACTGTATTAATGATTTCTGATGTATGTATGTGGGAGGGAAAGATTAGTTCTACAGAATCTCAAAGCTGATGTCTCATGAAAATATTTGGAAGACTTCAATAAACTGACTGTGAAGCAATTATTGGGTTTTTGTGAAGTTTAAGCATAGCCTTGGGAAGATAGCTGCTAGGACTTTCCACTGAAGAATATATTCCTTCCTACAGTAAGACATGATCTCTGAGTTACTATGTTTTTGAAAAAGAAGATTAAAATTAACAGAGGACACAAGCAATCGCCAACATTAAATTCTAAAAGACAGTATTATTTGGTTGGTTAAAGAAAAGTCAGTTGTTATTCAGTGTGGACAGTTAACATTAAGATCTTTGTACCAACTTGAAAACTTGACTTGCTACAGAGTACATCTCACTTATCTGCTGTAAGACAGTCTAGATGATGATAGTAGGATTTTTAAAATCTGGGTTTCTTGGATTGGTTCCATGAAGATAACATATTATTATCAAGAGAAGCCAATTTCAGACTACTCAAAATTTTGCCCTGAAAATGCTTAATTTGAGCAAATGAGTTCTAGTTTGTAACCTTTATTACCACATTCTGTATTCTTTCCTTTTTTGAGTAGTTTAGTGTTGTTCAGCATTTTTTCTTTACTTCTAGCTCATAATATGCATACCCTCATCTCTTTTTTTAATAGAGCTAGTACTAGTCTGATAAAACTACATGTGTATATAGTTATCTCTACCCTATGCTTGTCAGTACAAAGAAGTTAAGCCTGTTGTTCAACTCCTGTTGAAGTGTTTCTACCGAAATTTGAATCCTAATTGATTCTGAACATACTATTTAAATGTCCTTTATGCTTTTCCATCTGAAACTATATAAAACTGTTTCCAGCTATAGAAAATTCTGGTGGTAAAATACTACTTCTGAATTTTTATATTTAAGCTTCAGACTAATCTATTTCATTTTTGAGTTGTTGTTAATAAAGCTTGCTTTCTTCATTAGTTTTGAGGATCACAAAACCATTAAGACACTGATTTACAATAATTTTTTTCTTCTAGCAAAGAAGCTGATTGCAACAATAAGCTCTCCTAAGTCTGCAGAACCAGAAAGCATCAAAGAAAGTGAGCTCAAGCCAAAAAGAGCTAAGAGAAAGCTGTATTCAACTGACATTTCTTGCCCTCTAGATATCCCTGCTTCTTCAGTAAGTGGTTACAGGTTACTGTTCTGTCCACTGTAATGTATTTCACAATCTTGGCTTGAAAGGGGAGAGAATAACCTGAAGGTCTGATCAAGTTGCAGAAGAGATTTGAAAGTACTGACTTATTTCTAGATTCTACCTAACTATTCCTTTTTGGTGTTTTCTTCCTCCTGTTTTACTTCATTTCCTCCATTTTCTCACCTGTCTTCTCTGTATTTGGCTACTGACTTACTGTACAGATGATACAGCAGTCATGGAGATATCTTTAAATAGGATGGTTTCATAGACATCCTAGTTGTGGTATGTGGAGGATTACTTTTTCCTCTACTATAGCAGTTGAGTCTTAATTGGCTTTTCTAGCAGTTGGTGTAGCATAAAGGGAGAATAGGGAAGACTAGGAAGGGATCTGTAGATTTGTAATAGCGTGACTGAAACACTAAAGATAAAGGTCTGCATGTACAATTAACTTTACAAGTGAGCACCTAAGATAATTTCCCATTCCATTTATGCCAAGCTGATATCTATATTACTTCAGGATGTGGATACATCTATGCTCTGCTAAAGTACAGTTTAGATAGACTTCTGGGTATGCTTAAATTGTGTTGCCCTGTCTAAGCCAGCCTATTCAGACTCTTATAGGTCGGGACTTGATGTTTCTTAAGTCCAACTTAATGGTTTTGACAGTAGCTATAGTTCTGAGCATACTCGTGCTCTGGGGGAAGTACATCTTAATCTGTTCAGTTCTTTCTTCCCTTTGCTATAGTGAGCATTCTCCTGTACTGAGATATCCTATTGAATTTTCTTTAAGTTATATGAATGGATGCAGTAGAAACCATAGGAGAATGAGGAAAATGACAGAAATGCAGAGCAAAAGAAGTTAAGAAGCTTGGAAGTGAAAGGAAAGGTGTAAGACTGAATCCTGGGAAAGTCAGAGAAAGAAAAAGATTGAAAGCTAAAGATATGTTTTCTGAGTATTACAGATGAGAAGTTTGAGCTACTTTCAGATCACATTTTTCTTTGGGCTTTATTCGCTTCAGCAAAACCAGGATTTTTTTTTGTTGCTTATTATGCACTAAATTGGACTCTGTCCTAGACAACTGACTAGAAGGCAAATTTCATCCTGAAAACAGTTTCTGGTGAAAAACCATGTTGTTGGTTACATGGGTCTAGAAGCATGTGTTATTTGTCTCTGAAGAAATGCTGAGTAACCCTTGAAATACTATCTTTTTCAGATCGTTATAGAACAGAAAGACAAGGAAAGTGATCATCTAATCATCAAGCGACGGCTACGATCAAGACCAGTTAAATAATCTTGCAGAAGCATGCTTGTATTTCCTAGTTAGGTTGTATTTCCACTGTATTATTTCAACTGATTGTATATAGTAATGCTCCAAGGCCTGTATATAGATGTATGGAATTGTTCTGATGTTTTTTCAGTTCTGACTCCATTAAAGCTGAAAGACTGTTCAAGAAAGCTTGTGTCTGAAATTATTATTATGTTTTTTCAGGAATGATGTCTTTGGAAGTGTTGATAATTTACCTGTTGTGCAGTAAGAACTATATCTATGTGGAATGGTTTAATTTGCTTTTTTCAGGCGGCAAGTATACCTACCGTAACTTTGAGTGGAAAAGAAATTAGTACACATCAAAACATGTATATCTTTAAATTCTTCAGATTCAAAAAAAAAATTCTGTGATGGAACAAAATTAAGCATCTAGCACTACAGGGAAAAATATGATGTTTCTCATTGCTTCTGTGGTTTTAAATGTCTTTTATTTACTCTTCTAAATTAAGTAATTTATAAATATAATGTTCTTTCTTTGAGGATTATAATATCAAAAAATAATTATAATCAGCTATTAAAAGTGACCCACACTTGGACAGACATCTGATGTTTTCTTCTAATCATCCAGATCTGCTTAACTAGACAGAGATTTTTCGTAGAGTAAGCTTTCAGCTTATCAGTGACTGAGTAAAAGTTTAAAACACCTCTTTGGTTTCATTAGTGTAGCATTTACTTAAGTCACAGGCGGTGACTGTATTTCATAGGATTTTGCATTGTTTGAAGAACAGTACTGGTCATCTTTCAAAAAGAGTTGAAATTACTTTGACAATGACCTGGTCTTGACAGGAGTGAAGACAGGCAGTCCCAGTGAAGGATCATCTACTCTAACTTCTTACTCATGCGGTTTTCATATTTTTATTTTCTTGAATTACTGCCATCCATACAACATTGTTTCTACTGGGACTATTGGATTATTTTGAGTGTTACTGCATTTTTGTCTGCATCACCCATCATATCTATGATTTTATGACATCTTTCAGTTTAAAGAGTTCCTTATCAATCTGTTTTGCACCGTAGAGTTATTTTGTTTACGCTATTGCCTTTTGAGTTTTAGTATTTGCTTGACCACAAAAAAAATTCAGAAATTCTCTGCAAACATCCAACCTGGGATATTTTTCCCTTCTTGTAAGCCATGCTGGCTCACCAGCAAGAACAAGTTGGGCTGTAGAAGCAATGGTAGTTTGCTCATACAGTGAGGTAACTGCTACTGATTTCTGACAGCATAGCTTCAACCTTACTCTCTTTCAGAAATTATTCTATGATTTAACAGTTATAGGTGGTTTTTTGCTTTCTTTGTTTTCTTGTGCTGTTGCTCTGCATTGTCTTTTTATTTGATTTGAAGAAAAATATATTGATTTGTTGATACAAAAAAGATTAAAATTATTTTTCTTGAAAGAAAACAGTGACTTTATATTACTGTTGTAGTTAGCTTTAGTAAAAAATATGATACTTTAAAAAATACAAATCAATGTAAAAATGGCCATTTCTTTATGTGACTATAATTTAAATGTGGACAACACTGTGAGTCAGTTTAGTGGCAACAAAGTCCGATACTTTTTTGTCTCTACTGTTCTCCGGCAGATTATCTGAGCATGAAACGTTTCTTTATAAGGATATTGTATAGTTCATTTTTGTATATCCTGACTTGTAAGATCAGATTCTCATACCAAGTTACTTCTCTAGTTTCCTGACTAAAACGAGGTTGTACCCCTATACACTTCCATATCTTGTCCTTAATAAAGAAAGATTGATGTTTTGTTCTGTCTGACTTACAAGTGGTAAGGTGAGTCTGATTCACAAATCATTCAGCCCTTCCATTGCTTCAACTTCTTATTTTCATCTGTGTGAATGAGAACTTGAATTTCCTTTTCATTACCTCAGGCATGATATTGCCATCTTCTTTCTTCCCTCTTTTCATTCTAATGTAAAAATATGAAATCTAGGTGATGGTGAGATAATTCTAAATAAAAATAAATGCAGTGTCACTTAGTATCTCTTCACAGGTAGGATTTTATACTTTGACCCCCTTTGACCTTCTCCAGCTCTCCTGTTTGCTGCTACCTGTAGTCTGGATTGATGTCTTTCAGGGCTAGAGAAGAGCGCAGCACTGCAGATTCCTACCTGATGTAGGTGCAAGTTGCTCATTTCACAAGAAGTCTGGAGACTGTTATATAACTTAACCTTGCGTATTTAGTGTCTTAAACAATGGGACAGTACTTGGACATTTATTCATTATCTTAACATTTTGTCTGATTTTCCATTTTTAGCAGATATCCTGAGTCAGGTGTTCATCTTGACCCTTGTTTTTTTCTGAGTAGTTTCAGTTAATTTTAGAACCCATCAGCATGTGCCTGTTTAGCTGGATTGTTCCTTCCATTGTGTGTAACCTTGCACTTGCCTGCAGTGAAATTCATATCCCATCATGTTGCCTTGAATGACAGTTTGATTGCTTATCATTAAATCATCAAATGGCCTTATAGCTCTTATTTAACCGAAAAACATCTGCAAGGTAAATGTGGGATTGGAAGGATGCTGAATTATTTGATTGTTGGATGTGTGATTTCTTTATTAACTCAAATGTGTGGAAAGTAATAGAAATACAGTCAGCCATTTGACATCTCTGTGAAATTGCTGATTGATTGTATTTGTTCTTCTCCCTATAAAATATAAAAATTTCATAGTTTCAAAGAGCTTGTGCTTTCTTCTTTCCTGGGAAAATAACAAGTGACACATTTAACAGTTTATTTTAGTTACTCTGGTAATTTGTGATTTGGTTATCTGTGCAACTAAGTAGGAAGCAGAATCTCTCAACTTAGTTAAACCACTAAGACATTTAGAAATGCTACTATGTTTGTATCTGTACTGATAATTTTAGTAAAGAGCTTAGAAAAATTTCATTCATGTTGCTGAGCCATCTGAAGGCTATGAAAAACTTTTTTCTGGAAGCTGTTTGAATGGGTGTTTTCAATATAATCTGAGCATTAGAGTTAGCTTATATATACATCAACAAAATTTTTGCCTTGACCTATGTAGTTACTCTAGCTTTTTGTGCTTAAGTTAGCCTTTGCAATTGCAAACAGTGTACTGAATTAACTTCCTTCACAGGCGTAGGCTTGATAATCAAACTCCATGGTTACAAATTTTTAATACATACAGAAATGTTTCCTTTTGCTTTGGTCAAGGCATTGTGATTTCTGTATTTCTTCCAGCTCTTGGAGTTTGAGCTTGTATGTTTGTAGCCTGGAAAATGGGTCATACTTTGCGTCTCCTTGTGACTACCAAGTATATCCTGAGCAGGAAGAATGCAAGTGTGAAGGGAATAAAAATAATCCAACAAAGCAGTTTCTTTGATACTATCACATATAAAGATGTTCACTTTCAGTTCTTTGGGCATAATGGGAAATACTTTTTTTTTTTTCCTGACTAGAGACTGAGGCTGGCTCAGTATTGTCCTTCTTTCAGCTCTTCCAGAAGAGATTAAAGCAAGAACATGGTTTGGGACATCATTTCCCTTTAGCTTTCTAACTCTGCCTGACAGATATGGTAGTTAACTAAAAGCTGAGTGTGAGTATGTCTGCTCTTTATTTTACTCTTACCTTAATGTAAGGTTCATTAATTGGCTTGCAGAGCAAAGAGAATAGGTTCAGTCCACTAATGGAGGAGAGCTCAACTCTTTCCCTAGCAAAGACTGAGATAAGGTCCATGTAATGGAAGTTTGGTCTGTGTTCTGACATGGAGGAGACATCTGGTAACACTTAAATTGCACTTGTTCTCTTCAGAATGTGGCTGTAGGAAGGTATACCCCAACAATGTTGTGCGATACGTGTATCGCTACATCATTTACTGGGAGAGGAGTAAGAACTTCCATATGTGAAACCAGGCAGTGCTGACAGACAACACACAAGGAAGAAAACTCTTGATAGTACGAAACAGTTCTATGCCTGCTGTTACACCTGAATTCTGAAAAGTATCTTGTGCAGCAACACCACTGGTTTTTAATAGTTTCTTTTGAGTGTGTCACACTGTGAGGAATAATTCTTAGAAAACAGCCAAGCTATTGCCAAGCTACCCAAGCTTTTCCAATCTTGAAAAGACTGTTCTTCGATCAACTTCAGCCCATTTGAGTTGAACCATTTCTGTTTTGCTGCCCTCATGGGACTCCAATTTACAGGCATAACGAAGGCTTCTGAAAGAAAAGTATGACAGCACTACTTCATACAGGTCAAGCTTTTCTCTTTGGCAAAAGAAACCAAGGGGAGCAGTGGCACCGCTTGATCAGACAGCTCATGAAGTGTGAGGGGAACACTTTCTGGAGTTAGGAAAATGAGAAAAAGAGAGCAGAATATTTTGGGGGCGATTTTTCACTAATAGAATAACTTTTGGTAGATAATGTAGGTACCTGAACTTTCCTGAATCTTGGTTAGCGTTGTGAGAGAAGAAAAATAGAATACTTGAATAAAGCACACCTGCTTGGGTGTCTGCAAGGCTGGTTAGCGGGATTCTCGTGTAGGAGAGCAGAATCCCCGGGAGATGGCGCCGAGGCACCGCTGGAGAGCCCGAGTCTCCACACCGAGAGCTTGGGCGGCCAGGTGCAGGCGGGCAGAGAGGTTTGACTGCAGTTTGAACTATCTGAGCTTCATAAGACGCTCAAAACGCGGTCTTGCTGGACTTGGCAAATTTCAAGTCCTCCACATTTTTTTATTATTATTTTTTTTCCTCCTATAATGAGGCTACTCACACACACAACCCATCTGCCTAAAGCCCTGTTGTGCAGGATTTTGTTTCTCCAGCCAGGACTCTTGAGACGAAGTATTTGTTTATATGCACTGATATCTATTGCTGCACACCCACATTTCACACCAGTTTATATACTTTACTCCTTTAATGAAAATAAAGGATACTTCCATGGAAATACTCATTGGACAGAACTAGAGGTCTTCTAAGGCTTAAGAAAAAGTTTGAGA